TAAAATGATTTTTAGGGGGGTGCCTGGGTGGCTCAGTTGGGTGTCTGACTTCAGCTCAGATCATGATCTCGTCGTTCGTGAGTTTGAGCCCCGCATCGGGCTGTGTGCTGACAGCTCAGAGCCTGGAGCCTGCTTCAGATTCTGTGTCTCCCTCTCCTCCACTCCTCCACTCCACTCCTCCTCCACTCATGCTCTGTCTCTGTCTCTGTCTCTCTCTCTCTCTCAAAAATAAATAAACATTAAAAAAATGTTTTTTTTAATAAAATGATTTTTAAGAGTGCCAGGGTAGCTCAGTCACTGGCTGTGTCTGACTCTTGATTTTGGCTCAGGTCATGACCTCATGGTTCATGAGCTCCAGCCTCGCATTGGGCTCTGTGCTGACAGTGTGGAGCCTGCTTGAGATTCTCTTGCTCTTTCTCCTTCTGCCCCTCCCCTGCTCACTCTCTCTCTAAAAAATAAATAAATAACCATCTAAGAAATATAAATGAAGTGATTTTTAAAAATCAACAGGTGAACAAATAAGCAAAACTGGTATATCCATGCAACAGAATCTTGAGCAGCTAGAAAAAGAAAGGAAGCATTGGGTCAAGCTACCACACGGCAGAACTTTGGAAACACGCTGAGAGAGAGAAGGCAGATGCAAAAAGCCACAGACAAGTCCACTGACACGAACTAGCAACAGGCAAATCTATGGAGACAGGAGGCAGATCAGGGGCTGTTGGGAGGGAGAAGGGGGAGCTCACTGGCACAGAGTTTCTGTTTGCGGGGGGTGATGAAAATGTTCTGGAAATGGTGGTGATGGGTGCATAACACTGTGAATGCAATTAATGTCACTGAATTATACATTTAAAAATCATTAGGATGGTCAATGTTATGTTATGTATTTTTACTACAATAAGACAAAATCAGTGTCCCGGAGGCTGGACTGCAGAGTGAAGCTGGAGAGGAGGAGGCTGGCCGGGCCAGAGAGGGTGGGCAGGGGCACCGGGGGAAGAGATACAACAGGGCTTGGGGACATTTTAGCAGGAGATACCCAGGGGATATCCAGGTGGAATGTTCTCCGGCAGCTTCCTCATCAGTGAAAACAGGAAGTATTGAGGTGGTTATTTTTTAAAATTTTTTTTTTCAACGTTTATTTATTTATTTGGGACAGAGAGAGACAGAGCATGAACGGGGGAGGGGCAGAGAGAGAGGGAGACACAGAATCGGAAACAGACTCCAGGCTCTGAGCCATCAGCCCAGAGCCTGACGCGGGGCTCGAACTCACGGACCGCGAGATCATGACCTGACTGAAGTCGGACGCTTAACCGACTGCGCCACCCAGGCGCCCCGAGGTGGTTATTTTTTAATGCTTATTCATTTTTGAGAGAGAGAGGTAGTGGGGGAAGTTCAGAGAGAGGGGGGGACAGAGGATCTGAAGGGGGCTCTGCGTTGGGAGCAGACAGCCCGACGCGAGGCTCGAACTCACAAATCCTGAGATCATGACATGAGCCGAAGTCAGACGCTTATCTGACGGAGCCACCCAGGTGCCCCAATATTGAGGTGGCATTGAGATGAAGACAGTGTGGTTTCAAGTCCCAGGTCTGCTGCTTCCTGGTTGGGGAACAATACCAAAGCATCCTCAGGCCGTGGCCAAGGAAAGGCCAGAGGAAGTGAGACTCAGAAGAGTCTGAGAAGGAAGAGGCAGTAAGTCAGATGAGAACCAGAGGACGTGGTATCAGAGAAGCCAAGGAAATGAAGAGTGTCAAATGCCACTGAGATGTCCAGTAAGATGAGGACCAGGGTTGAGTAACATGGCCCTATCCAGGTCACCAGTCACCTGGGGACCTGTGTCTTAGAAGATCCAATATAACTTTCCAGAACACTCCAGAGCATTAAACACACCTTCTTCCTAATCTAGCCCAACTGGACTCGTCCACTCCCAACCAGAGCTTTACAATCTTGTCAACTAATCCCGCACTGCTCTCTGCCTCTAGGACCAGGAATTAAGAAAGAAAACTCACGTATAAGCATCCGTCATGGGCCAGGTACCGTGCTCTACTGGCCTCTATGACAGTCCTGTAAGGTAAGTGTAGTGGGTTGAAGGGCCCCCTTCAAAAGTCATGTCCACCCAGAACCTCAGAATGTGAGCGTTATGTGGGATAGGGTCTTAGCAGGGGTAGTTTGTTAAGATGAAGTCCTACTGGATTAGGATGAACCCTAAATTCAATGACTGCTGAACTCACAGAAGAGAAGACACAAAGAGATACACCAGGGAAAATGCCATGTGAAGACAGAGGCAGAGACTAGAGGGATCAGTCTACCAGCCAAGGACTGCCAAGGGCTGCCAGCCACCACCAGCAGCTGGGAGAGAGGCCTGGAACAGATTCTCCTTCGGAGGCCCAGAAGGGACCACCCTTGCAGGCACCCTGGTTTCAGACTTCCAGCCTCATGAACTGTGAGGGAGTAACTTGCTGTTATTTTAGGCCCCTCAGTGTGTGGTAATTTCTTAGAGCATCCCAAGAAAACTAAAACAGTAGGTATGATTAGCCTCTTCCTTTTGCAGGTGGGGAAGGTCACTTCACTTCTCTGGGCCTCCAAGCTGGGTTTGTGTGAGTTAACCTCCCTCAGCCCCGTCTACTCTGGGACACCGCCAAACCAAGTTTCTGGGCCTCGGGAGCCAAGAATCGTAAACGGGAAATTCACCAAGGTAATGTCACTCAAGGCAACAAGATGGCCAGCCTCCCCCAGGTCCCCTAGCCCCTCACCCTGCATCCCATCACTGGTTTCTGCACGTCCAGGCCGGATTGCTCGTCCGTCCTGCCCACAGTGGCAGACACAGGACACTAAGTAGGAGAAAGCATGGTGGCACCAAGCCTACCCTGTGAAGGAGTCCCATATAATTATCAGGCAGTTGGGCCCTTTGTCGGCCGTGGCAATCCACCGCCTATCTTCACTGATGCAGAGGCAGGAGATCACATTGGGGTGGCCCTGCAGAAATGGAGAGAAAATGTTTTGAAACCTCAAGGACACGGCCCAGGCTTGGCACTGGTAGGAGTGACTGGGGCCCCAGAGAGAACGGAGCTCCCCTTCCAGGTTCATCTGGCTGAAAATTCCATGCCCACTGGCTTTCCCTGGCATTTCTCCATAGCCAGTGGTGTTCAAATTTGCTCCCCCTCGAAACACCTGGATAAGCCCCACTGCCCACAAGAACAGGGGTGTCCTACAGGTATAGGCATGTCTCCCACTCTGAACCCAGGTTGAGAATAAATGTTGGGGTTCTGCCTAGTCCCCTAGAAGCTCCCTGTCGGCCTCATTGCCCTAAAACAGTGTCCACATCAGGTCACTGAGCAGCTCTGGAGCAAAAGGTTCCTCACTGGTCTATCTGCTTTTATTCCCAGCCCCCTATAATCCTTTCCCAGTAACTCAGGAATCTTCTGGAAACACAGAAAAAACGGTAGTGCTCCCTGCCAGGAAATAGCCTATTTCCACCCTTCTTCATTTTCCCTCGCTCACTCTGCATCAGCCATACTGGCCTCCTTTCTGGGCCCCACGCACAGGCCTGCAAACAGTCTAGAATGCTCCTCCCCAACCTGTCCCTGGTTGATTCATTTTCATCAGTCAGATCTCAGCATGAAGGGCATGGCTGCATTCCCAGGCAACCCAATCTGAGGTCCGGCTCTCACTCTTGACCTCTCCCCTATAGCATTCCCACATTTCCTTTGGAGTGCTTGTTATAACTCATAGTTACGTATTTACGAGACTATAAGCTCCATGAGGTGGGGGGGACTGGATCTGTTTTGTTCATGACTACAGACCCAGAATCTGCAACAGATGTTATGAGAAATATCTGTGAAATGAATGAATGAATGAATGAATGGTCAAGGTCTTTCCCAGCCAGCTCACTCTGACCTGCCTGGCATTGTCCCCATTTCTCAGCCCCTCTGCCCACTCTTGCCTCTTCCTGACTCTGCAGACACCAGCTCTCCCTTCTCCCTGTGCCATTACCACTGTGCGTAGTCCCACACACTCAACTGAGCTCCGCAGAGTGGTGCTGGCTGGTTTCGTGTGTATTCCTGACCTTCTAGAGAGCAACTTTTTCCAGCTGCACCCACATGGCTTGGATCCCTGGCACAATGGACTATGGGAAAATCCTTTGTGATGTTTTTGACCTAGGTATTGATTAAAGAAGGTCCTTATTAAAATATATGTCCATTGAAAAGGGTAACATGGAACTGTTCATCAGGTTAACGAGTGGAAAGTCAGAGAAGTCCAAGAAAGGAGGACATTTGGTCAGGTAAATGATGAAAATGTCAGGAACGGAGGAAGCAGAGTGGTGTGGGGAAGGCAGGCATGTGGGACACTTGGGGAGGCACAGAGGGCGCTGAAAACAAATACAGGTGTTCAAGGGGGGGGACAGGATAGGACAAAACCAACCTACTCAATACTTTCAAGTCAGGGGACCTGGATTCAAGACCTGGCTTCATGTGCAGGCTCAGGCAAGTCAGTTAACCTGCTCTGAGCCTTTGTTTTTTCTTCCGTACAATGGGAATATTAACACCCACTTCTCAGCATGATTATAAGGATCAACGAATGCCCTTTTAAACCTGCAAAGGGTTCAAATCCCTGCTGAAGCCTTTTGTGTTCCCCCCCGGATGTGTGGAGACAACATGATCTATCCTGACCACATTTTTAGGGAAATGCAGGAAAAAAAAATACAAATGCTTTAAATTCTTGTTGCTATAAAATTAAAATCAATTGCTATTTGTTAATTGATTCTGATTAGGCAGACAGACAGTGAGTAATAAAATGGGTTTCTAAAGACAAGATTTGCTATAGTTCAGAAGAGAGGTAGGAAAACACGATGGTGATATAATGAAGTCAGCCCTTGCAACAAAAAACAAAATGCTGTAGTCTAGTGAAAAACAACCTCTTTTACTTGTGGTAAAAACAAAACAAAACAAAAAACAAAAAACGAAAACCTTGCGTACCTGAAGATGGTGCTGATTATTATTGAAAACGTTGTAGATGACCGCGGTGTGAGCGCAGACATACAGAAGAACTCTCTGGTTTTCATCTCGAATATAGTAAACAGGAAGAGAACTGTTCCAGCCGAAAGACCAGGTCAAGGTCTGGAAGACAAAGGTAAAACCAGCAAGACACTAAGTGTGCCGAGGCCAGAGCTAGGATGCTAGGTGCTCCTGGCACAGTCTCTGGAGGACAAAGATTTCACATCATCAGTCCAAAGAGGAGAAATCACTTCAAGAAAGTCCTCAGCCACGTGCTACAGTGTGGATGACCCTTGAAGCCATGACTCTGAAAGAGGCCAGACACACAGGTCCGCAGAGTGTGTGACTCCATCCACAGAGACAGAAGGTAGATGAGCGGCTGCGGGGCGGCTGGAAGAGGGGGTGGGGAGTGACTGCTAAGGGGGATGGATTTCTCTTGGGGGGGATGAAAACGTTCTGGAATTGCATAGTGGTAATGGTTGCACACCCTTGTGAACAGGCTAAAGACCAATGAACTGTACACTTAAAAGGTAAATTCTGGGGTGCCTGAGTGGCTCAGTCGGTTAAGCGTCCGACTCTTGGTTTCGGCTCAAGTCACGATCTCACAGCTCGTGGGTTTGAGCGCTGATGGTGCAAAGCCTGCTTGGGATTCTCTCTCTCTCTAACCCTACCCTGCTTGCTCTCTCTCTCAAAATAAATTTAAAAACTTAACAAAAAATGCTTGAGGGTAAATTTCATGAGGATGTAGAGGAATCGGAACCATGGTGCACTCCTGGTGGGAACGTGAAATGGTGCAGCTGCTATGGACACACCAAGGGGACTCCTCAAAAACTTGAAAACAGAATTACCACATAATGCAGCAATCACACTTCTGGGCACGCACCTAAAAGAACTGAAAGCAGGGTCTCAAAGAGACATTCATACACCCAGGTTCATAGCAGCATCTTTCACAAAAGCCAAAAGGTAGGGCACCTGGGTGGCTCAGTTGGTTAAGCAACCGACTTTGGCTCAGGTCATGATCTCATGGTCTGTGAGTTCGAGCCCCATCGGGCCATGTGCTGACAGCTCAGAACCTGGAGCCTGCTTCAGATTCTGTGTCTCCCTCTCTCTCTCTGCCCCTCCCTGGCTTGTACTCTGTCTCTCTCTCTCTCAAAACTAAGTAAACATTAAAAAAAAAAAAAAAGCCAAGCCACCCAAGTGTCCATTGACAGATGAACGGACAAACAAAATGTGAATATTATTCAGTCTTCAAAAGGAACGAGTTTCTGACACACTCTACGACATGGATGAACCTTGAGGACACCGTGTAAGTGAAATCCACCAGTCACACCAAGACAAATACTGTAGGATTCCACTTACATGAGGTCCCTAGAGGAGGAGTCAGAGCCACAGAGACAGAAAGTAGAATGGCGATTACCAGGGGCTGGGCTGGGGAATGGGGAAGTTGATAAGAATTTGCTTGAGTTTCAGTTTTGCAAGATGAGCTCCAGGCACTGGTTGCGCAGAATGTGTGAGAAAGTACCTACCCCTACTTCCTGTATACTTAAAAATGGTTAAGATGGGGGGCTCAGTGGATTAAGCAGCTGACTCTTGATTTCGGCTCAGGCCGTGGTCTTACCATTCGTGAGTTTGAGCCCCGTGTCAGGCTCTGCGTGGACAGTGTAGAGCCTGCTTGGGATTCTCTCTCTCCCTCTCTCTCTCTCTGCCCTTCCCCCGCTCACTCGCTCTGTCTCTCTCTTGCTCTCTCTCTTGCTCTCTCTCTTGCTCTCTCTCCCTCTCTCAAAATAAATAAATAAACATTAAAAAAATAACAACAACAGATCAATATCGGCTCATCAACTGTGACAAATGTCCCATGCTAATGCAAGATATTAATGAAAGGAGAACCTAGGCATGGAGGAGGCACAAGGGAGTAGAAGGGAATTCTATTTTTCATTCGGTTTGCTATAAACCTAAACTCCTCAAAAATATAGTCCATTTAGGGGTGCCCGGTGGCTCAGTCGGTAGAGTGTGCAACTCTTGATCTCAGGGTCATGAGTTCCAGCCCCACACTGGGTGTAGAGATTACTTAAAAAAA